GTTTTTTTTTAAAGAGGCCATTGGGTTGTCATAATTCAGCTTATGTTTGGACATCCCTGGCTTTAATTAAAATTCATTTATTAACATGAATAAATATTACCATGCTTTCTAAATTGTGTTGACTATTTTTAAACTCAGAAATAATGCATTCTGCTTGACTTACACAAAAACATTGCTAAGATAAACGCTCCCTCACAATGTCTTTGTATTGACCATGTCTGTTTTGACTACATGGAAAAAAATAATCTTTTATGGTTTAATTCTTTGTTTATTTTTAAAGAGAGTACAAATTAGAATTAAAACAGAAAAAATTACAAGTAATACAGATTTTCACTTAACATAGCTATATGAATTTTACAGTATTTTCTGTAAGGCATAGTGGTGTCTTCCTACCAGTTATTCATATTACCATTTATATGCATGTAAAATTGGAAGAAGAAAGAAAAAAGAAAGAAATACATAAGAAATTAAGAAGAGAAAAAGTACAAGGAATTGAAAAAAGGAGATGAAATAAATTAAAGCAGTAACTGCTTCTTTCCATAGACCAGCAGAAATGTACAGTACAGTTGTTGAAAGCATCCTGCTTACATACATAGATATATCTCTTTCCCCCACTACCAATCCTATCCTTCTCTTCAATTCAATAACTGTTTAATTTTCAATAAGTTCATTCCCTTTTACTGGTGTCTATTGTACCCTTTATATTCCATTTTTTCTCTTTCAGGTTCTCACAGTAAAGAGTCAATACAATGTTTACACATGCAGGTCTGATTTATTTCACTTAAGAATACATTGTCTAGTTTACCAACAAAAGTCTCAAATTTATCCTTTTATAGCTGAATAATACTCCATTGTGTTAAAATATATCGTTTTTATCCATTCTTCAGTTGATGGGCATCTGGTTGTTTCCAGGATTTAATTTAATAAATGGTGGTGGAAGAACTGGCTTTCTACATGTCAAAGGCTAAAACTAGACCCATGTCTATCACCATGCACAATGCCACAGTCCAAATTGATCAAACTTTTAAATATTAAAACATAAACACTAAATATTCTGGAGGAAAATGTAGGTAGAAATCTTAAAGACATAGGGATAGGTAGAGAGTTCATCAACAAAACCAAACTGCATGGGAAATTCTTCAAGGAATCAACAACTTGGATCTCATCTTTTTATTTTTTATTTTTTATTTTTTTTTGGATCTCATCTTTTTAAAAAGTGTTTGCACTTTTAAATCTCCAACAGAGTAAAAAGAAAACCAACAAACTGGAAAAAAAGATTAGCTGACTGTCCCTCAGACAAGGGCCTTTTATCTAGAACATACAGGCAATTAAAAAAAAAAAAACAGGCCTTCCAAATTCAAAGACCCAGTACAAAAACAGGCATCTGAGATGAATATATACTTCTCAGAGGAAGAAATACAAATGACAAGTAAATATATGAAAAAATGTTCAATATCATTGGTCATTTGAGAAATGCATATCAAAACAACACTGAGATTGTATCTCACCCCAGAAAGAATTGCTAATATCAAGAAGTCAGCCAGGGTCAGCCAGATAGCTCAACAGACTAAA